AGAGAGAGAGAGAGAGAGAGAGAGAGAGAGAGAGACAGATTTAATGTGCATCGGCTTCACTAGCACAACAGTCATGAGTGGGCCTGAAAAAAAAAGATTCACAGATGAAGGAAAAAACTCTGACCGTTTTGAAGTCTCTGAAGGGCACAAACTGCACAATGTCCCGGAGGACTGGCTCTCCCTTTGGTGAGCGCAGGACTCCATCATCGCCATCCAAAATCTGCATGTCTGTGAAGTCTGCATTGCCCACACCGACGATGATTATGGAGAGAGGCTGGTAGGAGGCTCTCACAATGGCTTCACGCGTGTCTGCCATATCTGTCACTACACCGTCCGTGAGGATCAGCAGGATGTGGTAACGCTGGGAGAAAATAAGAGCTTTCAGTGTGAATTAATCCACGGTAACATTAACCCATTTTAACACCAACCTGCGGTTATACGCAAGGTGGTGTGTGTGTGTGTGTGTGTGTGTGTGAAGTAGGCCTTTCATCATCCATTGAGTGACAAAGATTAGGAACATATTAAAAAAGAGAACTTTAGAAAGACAGAACATGTGCATATATGCAAAATTAATTACAATGTGAGTTAATTACAGGGATATTAACGTGCCATACTGTTATCATTTTTGATTGGTCCCATGTGTAGTGTTTAGTTTGTTGGAATGCTGAGCGTTTTACTAAATGTCTTATATGTGTTTTTAATGTCTAATGTGGCTCCTGAAAGCTTTAGTGTTTTCTGCAGCTCATTTATTCATTTAAGGGGGAACTGAGTAAATAATTACAAGTGGTCGGAGCAATTACATTAGTGTGATAGTTTGGAACACCATGGCCGTGTTCCCAGTGGCTCATTTAAAATAGTAAAAAGATAAAGACTTTTTACTCCCAGAGAGGAAGCAATTTAAAAACACAGTTATAATATTAGATGTTGTCTTTAAATCAAATTTTAGCTGCAGTTCATGGGATAATTTTGAAGGTCTTCTGCACACCAGAGGATTATCTTTCTGATTTCGCTTCCAATTCAGTCCTAATGATCAAGGGGGTGCTGCTCATTTGCGATTTGGGCAAGTGACCCTGTGATGAGATTTCATTCGCGAGGCTTTTGGAAAAGGGCAGATTTTTTTGTTTAATAAAATGTTGACGGATTGCTGCGACTTCACTTTCGGTGTCTTATAAACCCACGAAGAACGTCACAGTGCATGACATGAAAATAAAGAAACAATGAAATCAAACCAAATGTCTAAGCAGACTGATAATGCTACGATTCAAAGTCAGGGGGACTCATGTAGAATGAAAGAAACATCAATTGGGTGAGCGAGCAGAAACCCACAAGCCAGAGCCAATCAGAGCGAGCTGACTGGGGAGAGCCACCAACTAGATGAACTTGTGTTGAGAACTGAGTCATGGCTGCTGACAGCATCATTTTTTGTAAAAACAATTACAATTACTGCTTGTTTAATGTGTCCTTGATTTTGGACAGTCCGCCTCCATGTTTGTTTCTATTCTGAGGTCACGTCTGATCACGTCAGTTCCCAAGTCTCTGTAATCACCACTCGGAAGTAAACTGTGTGGTCCTGTGTCTCAACTGGATTATCTACTGGGTGTGTTTAAACAATCATAACATACTTACTAAAACTACTTAACATCTGTCGTTATGTCTGTCTACCACATTTTTAAAATCAGTTAAGATCTGAAAATGCTTTAGGGTGCAGAAGCCATGACTCAAAAACAGGTCATTGTTATAAAAATATGTCCTGAACACCAACAATATGAAATGTAACATATTCTCATTCATTGTATAAAGGGCGCCTCCTTTTTCTACTGCAGGGGATCATTACTATAAACAGTGAGGTGAACCAAAGGCTACTCAGTTGGGATTCTCAGCAGGAGGCACATCTACAGAGCCTTTATTATAATGGAGTATGAAGGGACACTCACAGAGGCATCTTTAATGTTGCCGTCGCCTGCTGCCAGCTTGGCTATCCTGTTAATGATGGGAGAAACATTGGTTGGGCCATACAGCTGGATCTTGGGGAGACAGTTCTGGTAGGCCTCAACCACCCCCTGGATCTCTGTACAGGGGAAAAAAGGAGATGTCAATACGAGTATATACACTTGTATATACAATCACAGGTTACATTTAACCATTCACAGCAGTCTAACAAAGAATCTGTAGTGGTGTGAATATATTTTCTGCCTCAAACATATCAAGGTGAAATCCTCTGAAAGGGGGAATTCTCACAGGATTTCTCACAGAAACTGTTACGGTGAGCTTATTGTCCTCTGTGCTGTTGGATCTTTCCTACATTAATTTACCTGATGTCTGTGATGGGGAAGCTGCAGAGCAATATCAATATTTTAGCAGCTGTGTTGTCAGATTACAGATGTTAATTCTAGTATCACCAGCGGCACATCGGTGCACTTCTCAGTGAGCCCATCCTTACCTTCACACTCATCATCCTCAGGGTTGAAATTAATGGCAAAGTCATGCGACACCTGTGGATGAAGAAGAAGATTGTGAATTACCTCTGAGGAGGCGGCGCTTGATTTTCTGTAATATCTATATTGTACCATGTTGTTGCAGCTGCTCACATTTTAACCAACACCAAACTGTAGGGCCCATGTTTCTCCAATTTGTGCCTCACTTCATTTGCTGCCAGTTCAATTAAAGTTTGATTTTAAGATTTTTTTTGATAACTTTTAAACCTTGGGTCTTGCTCCCAGTTATATTATGGCGATAATAACTCCTATGCTTCAAGCTGTCATCTGAGATCTTCCAACCAACACCTACCAGTAGTTCCCCCCAACCCCCGAGGCTCAGGTCCTTACCTGAGGTGATAAGATTCGCTAGCACGGTATCTGTATTTACCTGGATCTATCTGGATCCACTGGAAAAGCTTGTTTAGGTTATTGATGCCAAACAAGGTCGACCAATTATTAAATCCAAGGCTTCACTTCTACTTCTCCCAGCAGCACCGTGAATATTTAATGGGTGTGTTCAATAAAGACAAAGGATGACGGTTTGTGTGTTATAAGCTTAGGCACATTGTGTTTGTCTGTAATTGTGACCTAGATGCAGATCAGATCATATTTCATGACCAATAAATGCAGAAAACTGGGTCATTCCAAAAGGTGGCTGATATATTAGTCATGCATGTAAATTAATAAACATGGGAAAATTATATGCGAATATGAGGGAAAAGATTAATCAGGAGCCAGCAAAGTTGTGAGAGCTGTAGGTTATTATTGCTAAAATGTGTATAAATCCAAATCAAATAAATTTCAACCACTAAATAATTGTGAATCACTTTTATTTTACAGTGAGACTTGGTTATGTGATGTACTAATATGAGTATACTTCATTCCAAATGGTCGCTTATATCCTGAACCATCTCACTGCACAGTAATGAGCATATAGCATGTACTATATGCTTAATATCTGGTTTCTGAAAAGAGATTTCTACCCAGCTTCATTTATCTGCTGTTTTATTTCTGTCCAAATGTCAGATTTCATTTGTTTATCTCAAAGCTGGCAATAAACTAAATCCCCCTCTTAATGCCTCCTCTCATGCAACTGTTTTTTTTTTTCAACAAGCACCAACTGTCAGCCAGCTCAGTGACAACTGATTCCTCTCCAGCTGGCTACTTTTTTAAAGTCATTTATGTCTTAAATGTGATTAACAGCCTGAAATCACTCAGTGCGCAAATAGATCTGAGGAGCACCAGAGAATCCCATCAAGCTCACCACTGTTTTTGTTTTTGCATTGGGCCTCTGCAGCAGAGGGGAGATTGTTTTGTCATTTACACACACACAGGTGTAATAACATTAATAATGGCTGCCTTCCATGCAGAGGTGTTCCAGGTGCAGGCTAGTTCAATAGGTTATAGAGACACTTCACTGGAACAGTATTGTTAAACATTAGAAACATAATTAGCCACACAAGTACTTTTCCTATCCTACAGTTTTACAGTTTCATCTCTTAACTTTGCCAAACTCTAAAAACAAACTGAAAACAAATTGCTTCAGGTTGTTTTCACACCTGAAAGTCTGAACCAAGGTTCATGTTTTGTTTTCTGGTTTACATCTGATCTGGTAAGTTTTGGTTTCCTATTATAATTTATGGAGCAGGTTAAAGACTTCTCTAAGACACATACATCTTGTTGTCATTATCTACTAAGCTGCTTCTATCTATACTTGACATTAATTGATTGTGGACGGGCATGCGTCTTTATTCTCAATTCAATCCTGCGACCCGCTTTGTTTCATTTAATGTTTTCTCAACTCATCGTCTTTTGGTCAGGACCATGGACAGAGGCACCTTTCACACCTGTTTTTTGGATTTGGACAAACCTGAAAAGATCCGGATCAAAACAAGGTGTGTGTTAGCACCGTCACTCATCTTCTTTCTATGAGCAAAGGGTCCCACATGAACAAAAAAGTTTCTGCCAAAGTCGGTTAGTTTTGTTTATTTTCAATACGGAAAAAACTGCAAACTGTTTCAGAGTTTGAATACCTGAACAATCAGGGATGATAAGTTTGAACCAGAGTTTGATTGACAGCTTTCACTCAGCAACAAAAAAACGAATCTAAGTGGGCAAACACATCAAGAACGCACCAAACAAGTTCAGTGTGAGAGCTTCCTCCAATTCCCTTAAAATTTGAAACTAATTTTCTGGGAACTTTAAATTAACTAAACACAATAAGCAACATTCACTGCAATAAACTATGAGGCTTCCCATGAATTCACTTCTTAATTCAAACTCACTCACTATGTGATCCATCCTTGGCTTGCAAAGTCACACACTGGATCTTTTTCTTATGTTTAATTTTCCATTCACACTTCATATGCATTATATATAGAACAGGATACAAAGGTGCACGACAACACCCAGGTACATCAAAGTTGCACACAGGTGTAACCTGTGACTTCATGGATGCAAATTCATAGTCTAATGACTTCACAGTAATTAACATTCACCCACACCACCAACCACAATGTGGCAAGAGCATGCAGTAAAATAAATCTGACTCCTGCAAGCAGTCACTGTCATGGTAAATTAAAAAATTAATAGTTTGTATTTACTGAGCTGCAAATCTTTGCATGATTAAAATTATAATTATTAGTGTTTCAGACTGGCACATAGCTCATTGCGGTCTCACATTAAACATAGATTCATCTGGTTTGATAGATTATCAAACAGCAAGTGTGTGTGTGAGAGTGTCACACACGCACACATGCACACACTTTTCACATGTCAGATGTCTCCCCAGGGCTTTATTTAGAATCACTGAAGGCTCTTGGTTCTCAGTGTCCAATTCGCTTAAACAAACGCTCTCACACTCATGAATTCTTATGTAAATTGAGCAACAACACTACAGGGCTTTTATTTCATTGGAATGTGTTATTTTCCCAAGACAAGTTGATATTTTAAGACAAGCAGCTCATGAATAAGAAAGAGCTCTCTAATTAGTTTTAAATGTGAACATTTGACAGAATGACAAAGAATAGGTCAAAAATCAGCTCGCTTAACGTAATTCCCAGGGTAGCGGAAAATACCAGGATTCGAGCACATGAATATATAGTATGCATAATGGTGCTCATATGACAGATGATAGAACAGAGCAGAAAAGAGGGAGCATGAATGAATGGCAGTGGAGACATGAAAAGAAATACTCACCTCATAATTTGGAGGGATTCTGGCACCAAACCCCAAAGCTGAAAATCTTTTGTCACTGAAACGACAAGCAAATGATTAAGTTATACATTACAGTAACTGCAGTTTCATCTGGGATTGCTGTTGACAGCAATCAGGAAAATATTGATGTCTTCTATCCATCTGTTCATGTTTCCGGGGGCAAACCCTTGTTTGTTTGCATTTCATAAATGTTAAAAGCTTCAATTAGAAATTGAAATCTGTCCCACGTTCCCTGCAGCCAGTGTGTGCACCTGTTCAAGAGAGTCTCACAGTTGGTATTCCCTCAATTTTTCATCGTACCACTCTGAGCAGATTCCGCTGTAAGATTATTGTATCGTCAAAGGTCAGGGTCAGTTTTGTATAAACAACAAGACAAAGATTGAGTGTGAAACCTCTCTCTATTTGCCAGACAGTGCACTATATTTAGAACCTGCTATATCATGTTCAAGTTACTTTTTCCACAATAAAGCACATTCAACAATTTACAGAATGGCAAAAGAAAACTAGTGTTCATGGCATATACATGTGTGTATGAATTTACTATCGGCTAAAGGAACCACAATGCAAAGCCTTGAGTTGCTCTTGTTAACGTCAGTGACATCCAGTTAAACACAGAGAGGCAGAATCTCACTGGATCTCAGTGCTGTGTTGGATACAGTCAACCACAACATATGAGTGACTGGAAGACTAGATGGTTCTTTCTAGCAAAGCACTAAAGTGGCTTAAATCCTTCACACGGAACAGGAACTACTTTGTCCTTACAGGTAATTTCCCTTCTAAGAGGTGGAGTTCCCCAAGGCTCCGCTTTAGGGCCTCTTCTGTTCAACATCTACATGCTCCCACTTGCTCAGATAAAGGAAAACAAAATGTACATAATCATATCATCAGGGGACTATAATCCAGTAAAAGCTTTCTATGAGTGAATTGAACAAATCAACAACTATATGCTTCAGTATTTAATAAAACTGTTTTTTGAGGTGGCATTTTGAGGATTAAGGGACTTTTCTCTCAGCAGGTTTTAGAAAAAACATGTAGCAGCATTCTGAACGCTGGTGCTCGAGTCCTCACAAACAACAAGAGGGTGGACCATGTCACTCAAGTTTTCACATCCCTACACTGGCTCTCTGTTCTAAATACCACAGTCAGTTTATAAAGTACTGAATTGTTTAAGGCAAAAATGCATTTCCAATGTATTACAAACCGTTCAGACCACTCAGGTCTTTGTGCGCAACATGTCTCTAACTCCCAGAGAACTGCACATCAGATGCAACTGTCAGCTCTTCAAAATGAAGGCAGAAGACTTTGCCAGGGCCTTATATTAAATTCAATACTAACTCATTTCTCACAGTAGGTTACAGTACAGTGTATCTAATGTAAACCCTGTCTAATTGTCTTGCTGTTGAAATGTGCCATATAAATCAACTTGCTTTGCCTTTACTGAGGTGAAAATTACCACTGACTAAAACCCACTGATTCTGTTTCCACACCTGCTGCCTCACAACAAATCTCCATTTAAATGCTGCTATTGAGTAAAGTGTTTAGTGTCCAACACATGGGGAGTAAATGAGAAAATGAAGGATTGAGCTCAAACAGAGCGGAAAAGTGGCAAAGTCCTGTAAATGTATTCAACCAACAGCAATTCAATTTAAGTTGATAGAACAATGTTAAAGTTAGGTCTAATTAATGATGCTATAGAATAAACTTGTGGAAAATTGTCAAAGACAATCTCATTAATTTGTTTTAATCTTTACAATGCATTGGCCACATCAATAAAGGCCTTTTAATTTTCAAACAGCCACAGCGCTTTGGTTATTTCCTTTTTTGCATCAAATATTACCACCCCAAATATTGGCTACACTATATTTAGTGTACAGTCGAACTTGTAACATTTAGGATAAGCAGCAGAGGCGTTGCAGCTTATTTTCAGTCACATCAGTGTTGTTTGTCTGCCTCGCTTATCAGAGCATTTGTTGTATTTCATTCATGCCTGACAAAACAACCCCGAACTCTCCAGCTCGGTGAAATCACAACACAATATCCCCAGATCATTCCCATCTGAGTTTGGAGCCAATATTTAAACTGATGTGTTTGATTCATTTACTCTAAACCAGTGGCTCTCAAATGGGGGTGCGTGGTACCCCACCAGGGGGTATGTGAATAGGTGTATATGGATATTCATGTGGCGAAATTAGTCTTGCATCTTTTTAAGGCATTTATCTTATGTTGTTCTTTCACATAACTATGTAGATGTGTAATTACAAGCTGTTGGGCCTCTGCTGTAAATATGCATGGGTGAATCAAAGTCTGCAGTAAAATCTGGTGTTTATCTATTGGTGTGTTGACGAGTGATGATTGGAGATTTGTTTGTCCTCTCATTGAGCTTATATGGCTTTGAGTATCTTTTAAGAGTTTCATTAACTTAATGAAGTGGACTTACAGAAACTGATGATTTTACACTGTCAGCAATAAACTTACCCTGAACTCTTGACAGAAGCAACTTGATTTGGGGAGTTTTAGTGGTAACAGCTTTTTATAGCTGCAGGAAAAGTGTTACAGTAACACCAGAGCACATAGGCTCAGGCTCTATTATTATTATTACTACTGTTATTTTTTGCTCCTCCAGGAACCTGGAGGATAAAAAGGAAAATGTGTCTTTTCACTCAACCTTGCATTCGTATATTTACAGCTGCTGCCAATGGCAACAACAATAACAGCCTGCAGGCTTTAGAGAATTGGAGCTCAGTTAGAAAGACATCACTGAAAACAGTTCATGGGCCATTTGGAAACTATCTTTTTACAATAGAAAGAGGAAAAACAAGATAAACGTGAATGAACTTCGGTTCTGTGGAATGCAATCGCTCATATGCTAATGTACTGTAGTTTATCCAGGTATAACCACACTCTAATAACGATATCCCAAACAAATTGATAAATTAGTGCCTAGCAGGTGATGAGTAATGTGTTGTATGCTATTGACATTTTTCAATTCAATTTTGAATTCATTTAAATCCAAATAACTTGCAGTTCAGTCTTTTCTTTCACTGATGTGACCTTTCAAACACACTGTGGGCTGCTGTATAGATGCAAAATAACAGGAAAAAACAAATTATTGGTGCTGTATTCGTTTTCCCAGCTCCACCAGCATAGGAAAATATTTTTAATGAAATGGGGACGAAGCCATTCATGCTGAGCCAATTTTATGTTTTCTTGTTTTGTTAACAAAGCAGATATACAGTATGTATGCTCTCACCTTTTCCGTCCTTACTTTTATAAATTGCCCTAGGAGCTGTAATGAATTGATTTCTATGTGCAAATTTAAAAAATGTCTTGTGAAAGTAGAGGTATGACATGGCACTTTCGGTCCAGGGAAGACTACTGACGAGACGTTCTCACCAAGTCAGTTTGTCCGTGAATGTCAGCAAATGTGAGGAGCCTCGGGGGATGTGCCTGGCATCACAGTGTTCTCAGCAAGGTAAACGAGCCTCTGCCCACACAGACAGGCTCGTCACTCCAGCTCCATAAAGCACTCCTCTGCAAGGACTCGACAATCCCACATCACCTATATCCAATAAAGGCTAAAAGGTTTGCCTGCCCACATTTTACACCTCAATAACAATTCCAACTTGAGAGGGAAAGGGCTGCCTACACTTGCAGTCACTGTACCCGAGAGGCATGTTTCCATGCATGACGCTCCCGCGTATCTGTTTAAACATGGAAGTGATGAAGTACATGGATGTTCATTTTCAGGCAGGTTTTCAGTGTCTCCAGTGCTATCTCTCGGATGCTATAATTAGCCAGACAGTGCTCCCCAGATATTCATTGGGAGGATCTGCATAAATCACAAGTCAGAATGTTAATCCTCATCTGGCTTAGTTTCTACCGATGAGAGGGTCTTTCTCTGAAACGGTTCATATTATTATTATTTATTTTCCATTGATTAGCGAACACCTGCAAGCCTGCCTGCAGAAACTCACATTTGTTTTGCATATTTTACCCTTTTTTTGTGTCATTTTAGAAACTAAAATGTGTGTTACTGTAAACGTGATAACTGCATCAGCCGGTACATGTGCATTTACAGTAGCAGGGGTTCTCATATAAAAATATAATTTTCATGTTTTTAATGATCTTTCAAACTGGCTCCATGCTGCACTCTCTCTGTTATAGCTCCAGCCATGAAGCCTCCCACTTCTTTTTGAAGTGCCTGCTATCCTGCTGTCCTAGTCCCTGGCTCTGCGTGTGTTCGTTCAGGGCAATGAGCCTATGCATGCTCAGGAGGAAGTCCAGTGCAACAGATGCTGGGAGGAAACTCATCGAGCTATCTGCAGGAGAAAGCACACACAGCCACTGCTGTGAGAGACCAGACTGTGAAGTACATGTAGATCAGTCAGGGCTGTCCTCACAAACACCACTACATTCTGTTGATTCAATAACGTGTGTGTGTGTGTGGTACTAAACTGAACCAGGACAGATGATTTTATTTATAAAGTATATATATTTTGTAATTTTCTTTGCAACAGTCAACCTCCAGACCCCCATGATTTTCACCTTCAACTACACTTTCAAAATAATGCTAGAGTAAAATTAAGATTTTTCAACATAAAAAGATAAATTATTTGATCCTAGCCTACTTTGGATTTTCTATAACACACAGCACTCATGGATGAAGGCATTTTTTTCTCTTAAAAATATTTGCCTCTCCCATCAAAGAGCTGTTTGCAAACATGCAAACAGAAAAACAGCACCGATTTGCAATTTGTGTCTGAATGGAGAGTGGGTGTGAGGTGGCAGACTGTGCAGGGAAGTCACACAAGATAGAAAATTACATTTGTTCGTGATGATGTGACAAGAAATTGAGGTCACATAAAACTAAGATAATCATGATTTGATCAAAATAACAACTGATTTCTACAGTAGGCCACCTTGGAAACAATAGAACACTATAGTAAGTTATATCATAGGATAGCATAGTATCATATAGTATAACATAGTTTAGTATAGTACAGTATAGTAGCATAGCATAGCATAGTAGTATAGTATAGTTTAGTATGGTACAATAAAGCATAGTATAGGATAGTATAGCATATCATAGTATAGAGTAGTATAGTATAGTATAGTACAGTACAGTAAGCACAGACACTGACAAGTATAATAATCTGTTATCAAAACGGAAGAAATTGTAATGACGTCAAAGGAAACAGATTGTTTTTTATATTATATATCATTTACAGTAAGTATTTGTCTATTACTAATAATATAAGATACATTTACTTAACTCTTCACTTTTGCTTGATTATACTATTTGTTTTATTAAAAAACTGAGAAATATTGTGTCTGTAATTTTTTTTTCCCCAAACTGTTTCATGGTTTAGGAACAAACTGACAAATATATCAGAATCCTTTTTTCCAAAAAGCAGTCCATTTGCCTGCACAGGATTTAAATGTCTGTGGCTGAGACCAAGGTCAAAACCTCATCTTTCTGACAGATTGTTAAAAGATGGAAATTCATGGATACTCAGGGAAAAAAAACTGCCGATCATTAAGGAACCAGCAAAGAGTGTGTCCAATATGGTGTCAGTGTCCTTGACTGCTGTCACCATGCACCATCATCAGCCCCTGAAAAGCCTCATGCATAAGTAATGTCTGCAGAGGCCTAGATTTGATTGCTCTAATTTTGCCATACAAACAGTTTATCATGTATTACTTATAGAAACAGGTTTAGCACAGATTTTATTTAATTTAGCAGTGTGAACATGATGCGGACACTTAACAAGATCGTATGTGAGCTGCAAGTAATCTGCTTCTTGTTTGACAATGTGTGCCTTGTAACTCGGCTAATGGAGAGAATTCAGAGTGCAGAGTCCATTTCAGTGAGGAATTGAATTGGAGATGGAGGGGAGCTGGCAGGTCAGCAGCAAAAGAATATGTAATAACCTGCAGGATTCTACGCCCTCTTTTTTTTTTTACTGCTCCACGATTTCCATTACAGGCCTTGTGTGTGATTCACACAGAGTGGCTCATCTCAGGCTGAGACATCCCAACAAAATGACATGCGAGGAGCGTTCTGCACCTCCTTTTCGCAACAGGAGGTGCTGACAATCTTTACTGCGAAGACAAAAATAAATGACAAACCTGTCGTAGTCTTGACAGATCTCGCCCACTGCTATCAGAGCCTTCAGGTACTCGTTGGGCTGGTACGGGTTGATGTAGTGCAATGAGCAGCTGTTCCTGGGGTCTCCGTTGGAAGCTGTGAAGTCAATGGCAACCTGGTAGAAAGAAGTGCAAAGTTAACAATAGGACACAGTGAGTTTAGTTTTCTTCTGCTGCTCAAACTTTTTTTTGCCAAGACTATTACTTGGCTGCTCATGATAGAGGAAGTTATAGCAAGCGAGCGAGCCTGAAATATGCCTGATGGCAGTATAAATTATCTGATCAGAGGTAGGAACTTGAACTTTCTACACCCACATACGCTGAAGCAGCAGCAGCTTCCACACACTTAAGATCCAAGCAGCCAGATATTTCATCCAGGAAGGAACTGTGTGTATCACAGCAGTCCCCGCGATTAATATTCATAGTGTTGGGAGGTATAGCACTACAGAGGCCAGACCAAAGGGCAGGAGTGGAAGAAGGTTAGAAATTATTCTTCGAGGCTGCCTACAATAAAAAAAACTTAAAACACCATCAGGGAGAGTTTATGAGAATAAAAGGATTTTGAAATTCTGTCTTGTGCTTCACAATAAAAAGTACTGTCACAAAGCGGGAAAATGTTTACTGCATTTTAACTGCAACAAACCAAAGTCTGTTCATCTATAAAAATAATAAATATAATGTATTTCACTGCACCTTTCCAGAAGCCCAGAAAATAAGTTAAGTATAAGTGTTGAATTCAGATAAGGTGACACAAACACCTATCAATTCCACGTGAGGGAGTAAAAACAGGTTCAGAGGCATAGAGACCTAACAGTACATCATATGTGACCAAACCAAAGGTTGGAATGTGATTGCTGAGGGAGAGATGATATGTCATGTGTGGTAGATTGATCTAAACAGATGTGTTATGAGATGTGATTTGAACAGTTCTATAGAGTCCAGCTGGCAGATGTGAGGTGGCAGAGGGTTCCAGAGATGCGTGCAGAGCAACTGAAGGCTCTGGAACCCATAGTGCTGAGTTTGAATGTGGGGACAGAGAGAAGAGAGAGCAGCTGAGGAGGAGTGCAGGGCAGAGGAAGGGGAGTAGGGATGGACAAGATACAACAGGTGTGGAGGATCCATGGTGTAAAGGGCTATAATTCAAAAAAATGATCTGAAGCAGCCAGTGCAGTTGAAAGCACAATGACAGCTACACCAACTCACCGTAAAGTGAATCTGGCAACCTCCCATGATGTAATCTAAGAAGGAATACACTCTGTGGAGCTGCAAGAAAAAAATACAAACAGAATATTTCTTCAGATGTTGGTTTGGGTGGAAGTGAGAAAATGGTCAGTGTCAGTGTTCATCGCATCTGGTCATTAAAACAGAATTAACTTAACAAATGTGTCGAGTGTAAACATGTTGCGATTTTACATGAAAGCAACTGTAAACTGTGATTTCAGTTCCACATTTAGATGAACAATAAAACCAAACATAAAGCTCATGTGTAATGTTTCTTATAAAACTGCTGTTCAACTCCCTTCTGTTAGATAAGATATATCTGTACAGCAGATTCCTACCTTAACGTCATTGAGGATGACAACTCCTGAATTTTTATAGTTTCTCTTCTTCTGTTTGTACTTGGGATTCACACAATCCCACGTCACCTTGAACAAAAACAGTTGAAGAACAGGAGCAAAATCTCTCAGTATAACACTGCGACACAGGCACATGACAAGTGTTTCATCTGTGATGGATTTCAGCGCAGTAAAATGAGAAGCATATTGGAAATGGATGAAACAGTTACACGGCTGTCTCTGCTCCTTCTCTCTGCTCACTGACCTTATTTCCACTGGAGATTTTCTGCATTTCCCTGAAGGTGGCGTAGAACTCGCCAATGAAGTCATGCTTCCCCCTGGAGTCATAATCCCACACTAGGCACTGTTACACACACACACACACACACACACCGAGACACTGTTTACTATGTTACTTCTTTCGGCACAGCTCTGCTCTCAGATTTCAGCTGAATGGAGGTCGTCACACACAGATTCCCACTGTGACATCTGAGGTTTTTAATGTGTGTGCATCTCACCTTGAGCTTTCGGTCCTCATCACAGCTGCACAGGGATATGAGCGACACTTTGAAAGGCTCCCACACAGGGTTCAGGTTGTTTTTAATCACCTGTTAGAGCAGGAAGACATCACATGTGGAGAAAATGCATAAACGGCTCTTGATGAAACTGAGGGAATATGACGACTTTACCTCAGTTCTGTGCACAAGCTGTTCGGTCTCATCGTCGTTGATTCTATATATTTCCAAAAATGGGTCTGACTTACTGAAGAGATCCTGCAGGAACAGAGAAAACAGAATATAAAAGCTACTAACTGTCTCTTGATGTTAGTAACAGGCCCTAAAGCAACTGGTTCACAGAAACGATTAGAAAGCCAATCTGAAGTATTTCCTCAGGTAACATTGGGTCAAATCTCTCTGGAGATATGTGAAGTCAAATGAGAGATATTATTCTCATATTCAGGTTCATCATTTTAATTTGGGTTATTACTTAAAAGGTTCAACAAGCTCTAATGCTCAGAAAACACATCACTTTCCATATACTGTCTATGGCTGCAGCTCCTCTTTTCAGCCTCTGTCTAAAACATTTAGTTTCAGCTCCTGTCTCTTTAAATCTGCAGCCAGCCATCAGGGGGCGATGAGGAGGCTTTGGCTTCACTTTTGGGGGCGATGTCATGATTTAAATTAGTGTGTAATAAAAGGAATATCCTCGTTTTCGTCTTTAGTTGTATTTGTGAAATCTCATTGAGACCAAAATCAAATTTACAAGAGACAAATGAGAATGAATGACTCCTACACCATCACTGAGGGTTTGATTTACAGTATTTGTCTTGAGCCAGAAAATATTTGCGAATATTCACTGTGGGACTGTGATGAGCACGATCCAGGCAAAATAACAGAAGAGCATCACCGATGAAAATCCTGTGTTTGGGTTATTTCATAATGAATATGAAGGTTGTTTGGCTGATGCATGTGAGAGGAAACTGAAGTGGCTGCTGACGCTGATTCCTCATTGCTTCTTTGCAGAGGCAGACGTACTTGTGTGTGATCAAAGGTCGGATAGGAAGCAGAACTCACAGTGCAGCATGAAGGGTAAGGGTGTTGTGTTTGAGGGAAAAAAATGCAATTTTTGGGGGGACAGGGGGTCAGAGCAGAATTTGAAAATACTTTACAAGTGTTCAAATCATGACACTTATCCCAACTTATTACATTTTTTTCTCCATTCAATCTTTAAAGCTTTTTGTTGAGCCAATAACCGCAGTGACCCATTATCCCCTCTCTTACAACTGTCCTCGCAGTTCTAAAACAACTTAATGGGTTTCTCCAACCAATATTTCAAGCTCACAGCAGAGACTTTAAACTTTCTGTTGCACTTCATGACTTCCTGTGTGCATAATGCATCTAAAAAGTCTCAGCATCGGGTTGCCATCACCAATTCAATGAAAGCTGTGTCCATTTAGGTTATTAGTGAATATCCCACTAAATTTAAATTTTATTTGCAGTAGACTCAAATCATCTCCTCAAGTCTCAAGTGCAGAGCAACACTGATTATTTAGGTCAATTGATTCTTGATGGAAGAAAACAAATGATTAATGGGTGTGTTTGTGTGTATGTGTGAGAGTGTGTGTGTGGTCTGGGTATTACTCAAGCTGTTGGGACCCAAATCTTATCATAGAGTCACATTATGGGGACTCATCTTCCTCCAAGGGACGAAAAGCGAGGAACCATATTGTAAAGCAAGGGGAAGTCATGTTTTAAGGATGGGTACGAGTTGGGGTGAGGCTTCTAGTAATTATGGTTCGTTTCCAGGAAATTAATGTAAGTGAATGTACTGTCCACTGAAATCATGAAGACATGACTGTGTGTGTTTGTGTGTGTGTGCGTGCGTGCGTGCGTTTCAGCTTTTGTGAGCACTGAATGAAACAGTGACTGCTGCATTTCCTGCCACATTAGCCAGATACATCTCCTGAGGGACAGAGGCAAAGAAAAAAAAGAGCATCCTTTCTTTGTTGTCATAGCAACTGCTAGCCAGTGGCATCGGCAGCATGGACTGATCAGATGCACATGTCAAAATGTAATCCCACGCTAACAACACCAATAATGTTAATCGTGGCCCCGTTACCACAGTCTATGATAGCTCATCATTAATCCTCCTGGAACATATTTTCAGCAAGGTTCAGGTTTTACAGCCGTCGAGCACGTTATCGGAAACGGTTCCCCGCTGCAGTCACTATCTGTTGTCTGTGTTTGATAAATTGCTTCACCCAAGAAATCCGTCGCAGCTAATATGCATTTTGAACAACTTAATAAATCACCTGATCACTGATAAAATCTTTAAAATTATAATATCAAACCCTAGCGTGACAGGGTGATCATTTGTCTCACCTGTTGACATTCACCATTTGCCCTGTAAACACCATCTTTGTTTACATCAATTAACTAGAAAAGCAGTCCAATGAACGCACACCTCTTGCCAAGGCTGAACAGACCCACTTAAATTCAGGCCACGCCAAATTTTACACACTCGTAGATATCAGGGCCCCCTTAATCACTTTTCTCGACACAGAAGAATACCTCCTTTGCAGAGGTAATCAGTTAAAGCTTCACTATTAAACATTTAGATGTTAACATAGAACAGATGGAGTGTTTTAGCATTTGTTTGCTGGTGGTTTGGGGTTTTACAGAGGCAGCAGGATCATGGTGAGGCATTTAGTCGCAGACAAACCGAATGTTGGAGTTGGAGGAGATTGAAACAGAGCTAAAAACAAGAGGTCTGGTCAAAGTGGTGGACAGACGCATGACATGGGGGCAGCTGCGGCTCAGGGAGCAAACTGAATATCCCTCCTCCATCAGACGACCAGTGTGACAGAGCATCACTCGGGCTGATTTACGAATGTAACGCACTGAACTGCATTTCACTGAAAATACAAATCGCTTATCTACACTATGGTACACACTAATTATGTTAACACATTCGCTGCAACAACTCATTAAGCAAATTATTTGTCAAGGAGCCGTTGATGGCTTCATTCGCTGTCCAGAAGCAGCTGCTAAAGCTAAGGAAATTCCTGATGATCAAATCCAATCGCTATGAGACTGCATCAACTTTGCTTTGAAGCAAATGTGATCAAACTCACATCTGTTTTTGCTGTTGACGTCTAAATGTTTCCACCTCTCACAGCCAGACCCATATATTCCATGTATTCCAGTCGGTGAATGATTTTATTGTTTTAAACAAAACAAGTGTGTGCACTCTTCAGCATTTCATCAGATATATAAGATTTCCAGGAGGAGACTGGATGCACAAAGCAAATGCACAGGAGGGATGATTTGTTTTTTAGGTTCAGTTTCAAAAAGAAATATGCCGTAGAAAATTAGAATTTTCCTCCTGATAAAAATGAGAGTCAAGGGCTGTCTCTGTGTGTTGCATCGTGAGGCCTGCTCCTGAGAACATGATGCGACTTCAGATGGTCAGAGTTTTAGTTGGATGTGAGCTCATGCTGTCTTCTTGATTGAAACACGCCTTCAGCAAAGTTTGACAGTGTGAGAGCATGTGGAGCTGAGGTCAACACCATCCAGCCTTAAAATGGAATTATAAGGAATTCAGCAACACAGACTTCATGTGATATTATAATCTGTCATGTCTTTAACATGTGAAACTAGTATGTTGACAAATTATCATGCTTTAGCTTTATAATTTAGAAATATAATAATTTGATATCCTGTGTTATATAATGATTTATGAAGAAATTTTAAAAATGTGCACAGAAACAAGTCCAGTAAATAATTGTGGCTGCTTTCTCTACAGTATGATGACTATTATATTACTCCAGTCCCTGTCTACTGCTACTAAACCTAATAAAACCACTGTATTGGTATTTTCATCATAAACATGTGCTGCTTCTCACCTTATCATCAAGCTTCTTGGCACAGAAGAAGAGCTCCACATATCCGTTGTTGCCAGAAATTTCCTCAGCGTGAACCTGAAAGGAAATAAAATATGTCTTCAATATTTTCTTCTTATGCACTTTATTATCTATTGGCAAGAAATAATGCCTTGACCAAACAATTCATCTTTAGGGAAAAATATAGTTATGACTGAGGTGTGTTGCCAATTTCGGTGCAATTTGGACACTTGACAGGTTCAATCATCATCAATAGAATTTCACAGATGACCAGCACTCTGTGGCAGTCAGTATGTTTGTTTATAAAAAGTTGTCCACACAACGTCCAGCATGCTTACAATAAAAAGTGACAGTATATTGAGGAGGACTCATGGATGACAAATAATTCAGTAGCTGTGGAGGATTACCACAGAACAAGTAAACAGCCCATTCCAAACAGGCAGGTTTACAACAGGCTCTGTATTCTAAATAGCCCCTGTTCTAAAACTTGTAAAGTATTCCGACAGTATTTCTCCTTTCTATTTCCAAAAGTACTCTTGCACCGTGGTAGGCAGCGATTCTTCTGAAGTGGCTTTGACTTGACACAGGACATGGTCAATAATAGAGAGCACCATCAGCTGTAGACACAGCTGTCTCAAGTTATTGCCTCAGTTTGTACATTCAACTTTTTATGGATGTCAAACTTATCGGGAACAGCAAAATGCAGCAGTAAAGTTTGTAAGCAGCTGACTCGCTCTGACTGCTGCTCCCTCTAGACTGTCAGGCTCGCTACCAGGAAAGAGGAGCTGGCTTCTTTGTCTCTTCCTCCTTGATCTGAACCTGACAGAAACTTTGCATCAAGGTGCCAGAACTGTGGCTTTTCAGCGAGCAAGGCCAGAGATTGACGAAACTCATAGGTGATGACTGGCAAAGGAGGCAAGTAGTGCTTTTTCCGACATGTGGTCCTGACAGGCAGCAATTATATAGGAAAAACACTTCATAAAGGGTGTGGGTAGAGGTATGTTTTTGGCCAATTCATACTTTCTCCAGAAGTAGATTTTTGGTTTAGGGTTGAGTTAAGCATTTCATTTGTGTCTGTGCTTCAAGGACATGGGTTAGGATTAGGCATGAAGCTGTTATAGTTAATTTTTTGGTAAAGGATCAAAAAACTATCTAGCATTATATCAGTCAGAGTTTTTACGAGAAATACAAATATGTGTTTATGTGTCAATGTTTTCTTAATCTTGCAATTTCACATATTAATGTTAATGTTTGTATTTATGTATGTTTTGAAAAATATACACACTTCCCATAAATGTGTAGCAATCAAAACTTAAAGAAACTGAACAATATTACAAATGTAACTGAAAACAGATTAGGTTTTAGTGCCGTCATGAGAGCACTGCAACAACATGTTTAACATTTAACGTGATGTTCCTCTGAACTCTCTATATTTATGAAGTGGTCAAAAAACTCCCTTGTGTGCGTCCTACAGCTAAAGGAGACCTTGAGAAGGTCTCTGCTGCAGGCTCTGGTTGAAGTGATGTTCAGCTGTGGTAAGAGATGAAATGACAAATAGAGGAGCTGGACTCTCCAGAGTTGCCCAGGGTGAGAGGCGGCGGCAGAAGTGGAGCAGCTCTCTTCAGAGAATAAGACGGTCGCCTCCATGCATCTGGAAGTTGCTGAGGGGCAGACCGACTGTTGTCTGTGTTTACATACCCAACGAATGTTTCAATGGTGTTTTGTTGTTGTACTTCTTTGCAATTCTATTACTAATTTTGCCACCCACTTACCTATTCACTGTGAATTAAATCTAAATTGTACATATTTTTGTATTATTGTCTTTATGTTCTATATTTTCAACTCATATGTTTGGTAATGTCATGTATTTGCTTTGTATCTATCTGCCTTTACCTTGACGCACATTAAGTCGATACTTGTCAAAAGACATGTGCTACATAAATAATCATTGACTCGGCTTGATACCACAACAACCTAGACCTGAGATCAATGATGGCAGGTCCCCTAAGAGGAGCTGGAAAACATTGCTAGGACAGCTTTGTTTGACCTGCTGTCACTGTGATGTGACCCAAGATAGGTGGCAGACAATGGATGGATGGATGGATGGAAGGATGGATGGAAGGATGGAAGGATGGATGGATGGATGGATGGATGGAT